ACAGTCCCCGCTGGTTTCACAGCCTGGAGTTGTGGGGACGTCTCTTCCCAGCCCTGGAGCCCTGGGCTGGGGGCCTGCTGTGGGGCTGGGACCCCTCGCTCCTCCGGAAACCACCACCCGGAGATGTCCCTCCTGGCTTTAAACCCAGCACCGGGTGTGGCCCTGGTGCCCTAGTTTCCCGGATTCAGCCCCGATCCACCCGCGTCTGCGCCCCCCCTCCCGGTCTCGATGCTCCTTCAGTTCCCTGGTTGTGGGGCTTCTGTGCAGCCAGATCTCAGGAGGCTCTGAGTGATGGTGGTTCCGTATTTTAGTTGTAATTTTGATGTGGTTGCGGGAGGCGGCGGGTACAGCTGCTTCCTACGCTGCCGTCTTGTTTCCTCTCCTGTTCTTTTCATTTAACAGACATTTATTGAGTGCCTACTGTGTACCAGGCGCTATATCTATGTGCGTGCAAAAACCCTGGGAGATCATACTCCCGTATATATACAGTAATGGTCTCTGCTTGCTGAGATAACCGGTAACTTATTTCTTTATATTTGTTTCCTCCTTCATTGGCAAATTTATTTTTTACAATTTTTCTACAAAACCTATATTATTTATTAATAAGGAATTAATATATTTTTTAAAAGCACTTCCTCAAAATGCTTACAGTGTAATGCTATTTAAAAAAGTAGGTTAGCCCTGGCCGGTGACCCAGTGGTTAGTGGCCCTTCACACCCAAAGGTCACAGATTCTATTCCCCGCCCTGGTCAGGGTGCATGTGGGAGGCAACTGATCGATGTGTCTTTCTCACATTGATGTTTCTCTCTCTCTCCCTCTCTTTCCCCCTCCCTTTCACTCTCTAAAAATCAATGAAATATTTATCCTCAGGTGAGGATTAACTAACAAAAAAAGGTTAAAACAGTCTAAAATCCTAATTATAAATCAAATACAGAGAGAGGAGGGGGGAAGCTAGAGAGGGAGAAAGAAGAAAGAAAAGAGGAAAGACATGAATACCCCACAGTGGCCATTTTTGGATAGTGGGATTTCTTTCACAGTGATTTTCTTTACAGATTCTACAGTGAACCTGTATTAGTTTTAGAATCAAGAAAAATAATTTTTTCAAGAGCCAGTGCAAATGTGACTTTTCTTTGATGCTGCCCAGACCTCTGAATATGACTTTTCCCAAACTTTTCACGTCCCTTTGTCACTTGCCACTCAATAAATATGTACAGTGAATGGATAGTATTTTCTGAGTGTTGCCTCAACCTTAGTGACAGGTGTCACTAACTTTGTTAATTTTCCCCATTTTCCAGGCTTTGTTTTCAAGAACAATGAGATTTCAGACAGGTTATTTCACAACAATAAAAATGTATTCTAAGGGGGGAAAAAAGAAATTAGGACACAGACAACACATGGACAGAGGAAAGACCATGTGAGACACAGTAAGGAGGCAGTTATCCGCAAGCCAGAGAGGGACCTCAGAAGGGGGCTTGGGCTTGAGCTTGAGCTTGGACTTCTAGCTTCTAAAAGTATGAAAAAATAAATTTCTCTTTAAGCCAAAGGAGAAAAAATTATTCTTTGTGATTAACTTAGTACTGGTATTTGCCTAATACTGATGTAATTTTAGTGGCCAGGGCTTCCTGTATTCTTTTTATTCTTTTCATTTTTTGTCCATTTTTTTAAATGACTAGTTTTATGTATATATGTTTATATATATGTTAATTGTGTAAACACACACATATGCGCGCACACATATATTAATATGAAAGTTTAAATTCAAACAGTAGACTACTGACCTCTTGTTAGTCAAGCTTCCCCCCCGCCCCTCAGAAAGCTTTTGTCTAGTTCCATTTCCTACCAGTTTATGGAGAGAAAAGGACTCCTTAATCCAGATTGGAAATGCCATCCACTGTATCAGCTTTCTACTAGCCCTGTGGTATCTCTCCCTCTGAGGGAGCCCTACGGGAGAGAGCCAGTGTGGAGAGACTCTTAGAAATGACCCCGTCTTGTCCGTTTGTGCAGCTTTCGTCGAGGGGGTGGGGCAAGGGGTAAGGTGGTGTTCAACTGTTTTAATGCATTCATCCTTTGCAAAGTGAAGACAGGCTGTAAACACTGCTACTGTGTGAAGGCACTCAAAGCAATTAGAAGTGGCCCGTCTCTAGTACTACCACCCTGGCTAGTAGAGTCCGCCCTGAGTTGCCACGTTGGCCTTAGACCGGGAGTTCACGGAGCTCACGTCTCCCTGTCGTGGCTTCCTGCTTTCCAGGAGAGACCCTGTCCTGCAGGAAGGGTGAAGCTCCTGGAACCTGAGGTATTAGAAAGTACTGATGTTGTGAAGCTGTAAAGGATCCTGGAACTGGGGAGATTTCATTCTAGATAGGAGAATGTGAATGAAAAGAAACAATGTGTGGCCTCCCTGTGGGGAGGAGAAAAGCATGGGAAAAGCATCTTCTAGGGTACTTTCTGTGGGTCCTGAAAATATTATGTTAGCCAAGTGCTTCTTGAGATATACTACGATGCTTAGATGGGCACATTGGTGTTTTGACTCTTTTTTTAAAAAATTATATTAATTGATTTGAGAGAGGGAGGAAGGGGGAGAGAGAGAGAGGTTTGTTGTTACACTTATTTATGCATTCCTTGGTTGATACTTATGTGTGCCCTGACCAGTGATTGAACCCGCAGCCTTGGCTTATTGGGACAACACTCTAACCAACTGAGCACCTGGCCAGGGCTGGTGTTTTGACTCTTAACTAAGCTTACAATCATCTTACGGAATTCAGAATCAGAAAAAACATCAAAATGTCATCCAATTACCATTAGAGGTTAAAAAAAAAAAAAAAGTCATTGACATCCTGCTTCATTCCATGGTCCCCATCACCTCATTGAGAGTCTCCCGGTGAGGCTTCTGCAAGTATAGAAGCCTTACTTTTGAAACTGCATTCGCCACTCTTGCCACCTGCTTTTTTATTTGTGATGCTGTGTGTCTGAAACTTGGTCCCCTCCTCATATACTGTTGGTGACCCTTCAGAAACTTAAATCACAGTCATCCATGTCAGGGAAAATGTGAGCTCTGCAAGTCTTTTGTGTCTGATGAGGAAATGTAGTTTCAGATGGATTAACCCAAATCCCCTGAGTATGAATTTTTCTCTAATTCCCTGACATGGAGTGATTTTGTTGAAGAGATTGCATTAATCTCTTGCAGTTGACGGATAAATTGCTAAATTTCAAAACACAGGTTCGTCCTTTACTACTTGACCTCTGGGTTGGGTGATCGATTCCTCACGATGTCATTTCTTTAAGATATGCACGTTTATTCACCTGGGATTGCTAAATCAGAGGTGCTCTTGTGGCTCTGCAGTCCCGGCCAAGCTGTATGCATGTCCTGCCAGCTGACACATTGAAGTAACCAACTTGAGTTCATTTTAAACACAGTTTTATGAAAGGGTGTCTATATTGCCTGCCGCTGACATGGTATTCCTATAAATGTGAGCATAAAGATTGTAGGACATGACTCATTTTATAGTTAAAAATGGAGGGAGACTTATGAAAGCATAAAATTTAGAGCCTTTCTAACTTGATGTACAAAGATTGCTTTTAATGTATCGAGTAGCAAAATGGAAAAGTTGCATTATCAGTAAATTAACTGTTTACTTAAACTATTTTTGCTCAGTTGGTTATATTCATATGTTAACTGTATTTCATTGTGTTGTCTTTTAGGGGTGTCAAGCTTATATTTTTGCTGCTGTCCACTTGTAAATACACTCAGAACAGGAGATTTTGGACGAATTTTTTGGCTACAGGTATTTTGTAAACATGATGCATTTCAAAAGTGGACTTGAATTGACTGAGTTGCAAAACATGACAGTCCCCGAAGATGACAACATCAGCAATGATTCCAATGACTTCACTGAAGTAGAAAATGGTCAAATAAATAGGTGAGTATTTTTCTACTAACACTTTCTATCCAGTAAAAGAAATATCTCTAAAATATTCTGATTTTCAGCATTCTCTCGAATTATTCATTACTAAAGTTATGCTCCATTTGAAGATGTAATTTGAATTTCTTATGTGACATCTGTTGGGCATAGTCTGCAATAGCAGATGAAGCAAATAGGAAAGTAATTTATTCACCCTTTCCAATCTTTCAATTGAGTCTAATAAAAATGTATAAATACATTGGACCCCAACCAGCTCTAAGTTTTCAAAAGCTCTGTGCTTATGAATTAAGCACACTTTTGGCATTTCACTGCATCCCATATCTGAATGTGTCCTGCAGTCATCTGACCTCGCCCACACTTTAATCAAGAAATGGTCAAAGCTGCATTTGCCGATGCTCTTGTGTTAAAACTACAAATGCATCATTACGAGCATCATTCGCAACATGGATTTTAAATAATAACTATAGTTGAGCCCAAATGGCTCTTTGAGAGACTATAGTAGAGAAATAGTACACGGAGCAGAAGGAAAAGAAAAGAGCATGAATGAGAGGCGGCAGAGAGGCCGCTGGGAAGAGTGCTGGCCTGGAAGCTCTTGGCCCCCGCAGGTCTTTCCAACTCTTGAGTTTTATGTTTCTTAAGTTACAAGAGTAGGGCCAAATGGCTTTCTTTATGTTTTTAATGATGTGGGCATTCTCTGACCTACTGATGTTATAGCCAGCTTGTGTGGATCCCTTTGCAGGAAGGTCTCCAGCTTGGGAGTTAGTGGTGCGGCTTGCTTGAAGCATGAAGCCTCCTAAAAGGCTAGGAGAAGAGAGTGGAGTATACAGGACTCCTTATTAGAACAGCAATGATGCTACACTTTTTTTCTTGGTGGGGGTTGGGGGGGCTGGGGCTTTGTCAGAAGGAAATTGAGGTAGAGGAAGATGAAAACATTACATCACCTAGGCAGGCATCTTTGTAGGAATAATTCCTGACAATCTGCTCTATATTTGGTTGTATGTATACATACATCAATGAAAGTCCTGCATAGGACTTAGTTGCCATCACTTAGACTTGCTTAGAAGTTTCAGCCCTGCCTCTTCTCCTTTTTCTCTTCCTTAAATGTTCTTAGAGGTTAAGTCTCTGACCAGACACTCCTCATAATACAAGTATCATTTACTATGTTGTGATATTTCTTATTGTTGGACTCAAGTTTACTTCTGCTTTTTATGAGTCGAATTATTAATAATAACTAACATTTCTTGACTGCCAGCTGTGTTTACATATATTGCCATTTATCCGTATAATGTCATGTAAAGTATTCTTTTGCAAATAAGGAAAATTTAAAACTTTAGTTTACAAGTAAAGAAACTGAAGCCCAGGAAAATAAAATAACTTGCTCAAGGGCATACACAGGTCCATCTGAAATCATAGTCTTTCTACTCTATCCTGCTGCCTTTGATTATAATGCTCAGGCATTAGCCAGTTCTATTAAAATCTACCAATGCTGATTTATGCTTTGTACTCGGAGTGTTCTGTAGTCACTGCTGACCTCACTTAATGGTGCATGGGATTCCAACCATTTCACAAGTAGGACACTTTGGTTTTATAACAGCTTCATTCCCAAAGCAATGCAAACCTTGAAGACCTTAAAATGGGAGTCATTTATAATATTCAGTGTCGAGTCTGAACTTGATCTTAAAAAGTTTTACTTCCTATGCATAGCCCATGAACTCAGACTACAGTGTGGTAAAGGGAGGGGG